AGAAATCTCCATCCTCTCTTCTTCACTGCTAGGACTCGTACTGGAGGATAATTTGAAGTTAATAGGAAGAATGGTAGAAATTGGCTTACAATCTTGCATGTTGAATTGTGACAAGATCTTCTTCAAATAATTCTTTTATGAAAGTCAAATCTTCTTATTAATTCTGTCTTTGTGAATTTGCATCCCTAGAATCTTGTTTGTTGATCCCAAGTTCTTCATTTCAAATTATCTAACCAGATGTGCCTTCAATTCTTCAATATGATCTTTGTTGGGTCCTACAACCAACATGTCATCCACATACAACAGTAATATAACAAAATCGTTATCACCAAACCTCTTGAAATAAGCACAAGGGTCTGCAATAAGTCTGTTGTATCCAAGGTACGTAATGAAGGAATCAAATATCTTATACCCACACCTCGGCGCCTGCTTTAGACTGTACAAAGATTTGTTAAACCTACAAACCAAGTTCTTCTTTTCTTTTTCTTCAAAACCTTCAGGCTGGAGCATATAAATTTCTTCTTCAAGATTTTCATGAAGAAAAGTTGTTTTAACATCTAGCTGCTATAGATGTAAGTTCAATGTAGCACACATTGTCAAAATTACTCGAATTGTTGTTAGTCGAGCCACGGGAGAAAAGATTTCATTGAAATCAATACTTTCTTTTTTAGCATATCCTTTGACCACCAGTCTTGCACGATACCTATCCACTTGATCGTCACCATTTCGCTTGATTTTGAAGACCCATTTGTTACCAATTGGCTTCCTTCCTTGTAGTAGCGGAACAATATCCCATGTATTATTTTTATGAAGGGCTTTAATTTATTCTTGCATCGCCATCATCCATAGTGAAGCATCTGAGCTGTTTATTGCCTCCTGGTATGTTGATGGCTCACCGTCCTCTGTTAAAAGACAATATGCAATTTTCCTTCTATAACATAATCTGAGTGCCAATTGGGATGTCTTCTCACACAATCTGATTGACGAGTTGTTGGAGCTTCAGAACTCTCTGATTCTTGTTCATCATGTATTGGTTCTGCTTTAGAAGAATTTCCTTGTTCAAACTCTTTTTCCACATGTATCTGTGTATTCTCTGACTTTTCAGCGCTATCATCGTCGTCTTTTCTTTATAAATTATCTTCTACAAAGATAACATCCCTACTGATGATCACTTTGTGGGCAGTGGGATCCCACAAGCGATACCCCTTTACTCCATCAGTATACCCCAAGAATTTGCATTTCCTGTATTTTGGATCCAGCTTTGAAATTTCTTGGGAGTTGTACATCATGTACACAATACTTCCAAATACATGGAGGTTTGAATAATCACCTGGTTTGCCAGTCTACATCTCCATTGGTGTCTTCAGCTTTATTGCAGTTGATAGAGCTCGATTCACCAAATAACAGGCGGTATTGACTACTTCTGCCCAAAATGATTTTTCTAGGCCTTCAGCCCTCAACATTGCTCTTGTTCTTTCTAACAAGGTTCTGTTCATCCGCTCTGCCACTCCATTTGTTGAGGAGTGTTCGCTACTGTGAATTGTCTTTTGATGCCTTCTTTCCTGCAAAAGTCATCAAATTCTTCACTTGTGTATTCTCCTCCATTATCTGTTTTGAAACACTTGATCTTATTTCCAAAATCAAGTTCCACCCGCGCTTTGAAGTTTTTGAAAGTGGAAAACACATCTGACTTCTTCTTAATAGGGTACACCCAACATCTCATGTAGTAGTCATCAATAAATGAGACAAAGTATTTTGCTCCACCTAGGGATGTAACTGGTGCTTGTCATACGTCAAAATGAACCAATTCTAGAACACTTTTGCCTCTAAAATTTGACGTGTTGAATTTCAATCTTGTTGCATTACTATCCAACAATCTGTAGGAAAATAAAATTTTCTTCAGGCCTTTCACGTGCCGCACATCTCGAACAACTTTGATTGTTCCATCATACATCTTCAATTTGATGGTTCTCACGCCAATGATCTCTAAGGCATGATCATTACAACTATACACAGATCCTCCTAATACATGTTCATAATGATGAATCCATTCTCTTCTTGAGGTCATGTGATATGTTACTCCCGTATCAATGAGCCATATATCTGCAAATTTCTTTCTACATTCCACGGTGGTTGACGCTTAACAGCATAGAGCATCTCCATTATTTGAAGTGTTTGTGGTATTACTTTGTGGATTGGAGTTTTTATTTAGACTCCAACAAACCTTCTTCAAGTGACATTTCTTTCCACAGTTGTAGCACTTTAAATTCTTCTTGCTCCTTGACTTCGATCTACCATGTTTGTGACTGCTGCTTTGGCCACATTCTGTTAATCTCCCTCTCATCGTTGTCAATGCTTCTGCTTGTTGCAGATTTACTTATATGTCTTCCTTGTTCTTGCGACAATTTTCTTCTTGTAGAACATCAACTGCAACGTCATCGAAGACTATACGGGTGACATTATTGTTTTTCAAGTTGATGATCAGTTGATTATACGAATCAGGTAAACTTTGAAGTAGAAGTTCAGCACGTTCTTGTTCTCCTATTGTACATCTTAAGGATGTAAGCTGGAAAAAAAATGTGTTCAGTGTATTCAAGTGCTCTGTCACTGAAGTAGATTCTGACATACGGAGAGTGTACAATTTTCTCTTAAGGAAAATTTTATTGAACGATGTGGCCTCTTACAGTTTGGTGAGATGATCCCATATCTCCTTAGTTGTCTTGTTCTTCTCGATGCTTGACAATACTTCATCTGTTAATGCTAGATGAAAATTTGTCATAGCATTCCCGTCCATTTCGATCTATTTGTTGTCATTTGTGAAATCTACCGGCCTTTCACTGATAGCTGCTAGACAACCTTCTTTCCTCATGATGGCCTTCATCTTCAATTTCCACAATGAGAAATTTCTCCTATTTAACTTTTCAATATCAAATTTCGTTGACATAGCTTTTATTACTGATAGCTCCCACTATTTCACTATCGTGAATAGTTCTCTTAAACCTTCAAAGAAAGGGTAATACCTTCTTACATTCTTATGTTGGAGGATTCACCTTTTGGTGGCAACCACAAAGACAACAAGTAGATATTACACACTCTAATATGGCTCGGATACCAATTGTTGCGGAAGACGGCTATCGGATAGAGCAAAATCGCAACTAATAATTTGAGAAAATAAAAATGAAGATAAAGAAGACACAAAAATTACGTGGAAACCCCCTAAATAATATAGGGTAAAAACCACGGGAAAAAGTAGAAGAATTTTACTAAGAGAAAATAGGAATTACAACTTCTCTCGATCTAACAAGGAGAAAACAATGACAATTTTGTCTTGGTAAAAAAGAGAAAACAACTCTCAAGAAAACTCTCTAAATTCTCCAGTATTGGGAGAAAGCTAAAATGATTTGGGATGGTTTTGAAGCTAAATGAGTTAGAGTATTTATAGTTGAAGCTTAATGACTAATCTTATAAATACCTTAAAGTACAATGACTAAATTGTGTAAATTTACCATCCATTTTTCAACAATTGTGGGTGAATTTTTTTTTCTTTTCAAATCACCTTTCGGTGGATTTATTTTTTCACCTTTTCGGTGGATAGTCAACAGGTAGAAATATTATGCAGATAGAGTTGTTGTCATTTTGTTGTAGTAGGAGCAATACTATACCATATTTTTCGCCTCAAATTGCTTGAATTTTTATTGTTTCCTTTATCCTCCACAGTTGAAAACTGCTAGGGAATCAGCAAACATTGCGTTAGCAGGCGGTGCCATCGGAGCGATATCTGCAGTCTTGCCCGGAAATACTCAAGGAGTTTACATGGTACTCTAATCCTTATTCTCTATGGTCATATTATTAAGCTATGAAACAATGAAGATCAAAATTCCAATTCCCTTGAGAATTATATCGTGTGGGAGAGTGTTTGTTTTGTGGGTTGCATTATTAAGCTGATATTATATATGTATCTATATTGAATTCGTGTTTGACATGAAAATAGGCTGTCGAAGTTTATGATGCAATGTTAAGTGCATAAACCGTCTCACTATTCTGAACGTTTCATCTTTCTTGCAATCCTTTATCAAACTGATTATGATCCAAGTGGAAGTTATCTTAAAGAATCTCACCCCTAATTTTTTCGCAAGTGCCGGACTGTCTTTCGCAGCGTGGGCTATCTTTGGTTGGACATTCGAGCAGGGAATCGCTGATCACTGGTATCAACTCTACAGGTTGGACACGATGAGTGCACAAGTCAAATTTATGGACTGGTGGGAAGAGAAATGCCAGAGGCGGTCTTGAACTCGGCATCGGCATTGGAAGTAGGCACCAAGACTTTGATCCCATTTGCTTAATAATGGCGTTATGCTGAAAATGTAATGCTTGATTTTGATGCTATGTAATGTTGTCAGAGACTTGGCACTTGTGTTTCAAGGATTTCCACTCAATTTTTTTCTCCTCTGAGAAGCGAATTGGCATGTCATAATAAGTTGCTAATCTCCTTTTTTGAAGAAGTTATTAATGAACATGCAAATCCATTTTCCTCCATTTTCCCACCAACCAAACACAACAACAAAACAAAGAAACACTGGAGATGAATTTGCATTACACAGGCAAAGGGAAGAAAGTACCTGAAGATGAGCCCGGCGGTGACATAGATTTTATACCCTCGTCGATTATTTCTCCGATCATTTTGTTCTGTCATGCTGCATATTCAGTTATTGAGTACGCAATAATACAGTCATGATTTCATCGTTAAGCATCGATAAATATGAATTCTAAAACATAATAACAATTGATGAACTACGAAATATTATATGAATAAGGAAAATTGATGGAAAAAGTTGAATGCGATTTCAAACAGGGAGTACGATCGATCCTTTCTCGCTTATTTTTGTTTGAATCTCATTTTGAAAGTGAAAACGCCTACTCGAAGTTTCTCAAGAAAAGTGAGAGAAAACGAATTTGAATTTCTGAACCGGAACAGAAGGGATCCGTTTTCTTATTGGATTTTAATTCCTTGCTAACGTCAAGTCGTAAGTGTACGACCATATGTCCGAATGTTCCCTCCAGAACCCGGTTCCGGGGAATCGGGCCGCCAACTTCTCCTCCGTATCAGATTCATCGGTTCCCATGGACCCGTTATCCTCATTATCACCAATTTGTTTCCCATTCACCATCCGGTCCAGCTCGGGGTCCTCCATGGGCGGCGTAGGATGCGAGATTTGGTTCCTATGGTTTCGTCTCTTCCTTGCGTAAGCCTTCTTGCAAAGTCCGGTCGGAACCTTGTATAGTCCCAGAAAAAGCATCTCCGTCATGGTAAGCGGGACGCAGCAAGCCACCGCCGTGCACTCCGCCGCGGATCCACCGACAATTCCCCCGTAGTTCTTCCCTTTCCTCGCCGTCTTCGGCGGTGAACGTGACAATTGCTTAAGAGTCATGTTTAACGGATGACGTGTTTATTATCTCTCCCCCTTCTTCCAGGAAAGAAACTAAAGAGAACGAAGACGGTGGTTTTGAAACGAAGAATGTATATGGGGAAATGAGATGCTGAATTCATTTCGAACAAGTTTATTTTAAAAGACGATAACATGAGAAAGTGAAAGGGAAATCCGGAGAATCGAGGAAGACAAAATTGGAAGAAGAAAAAATGTGCGGGAAATATCCAGCCAATAAATAAAAGAGAATTCTTTTGACGAAGCGGCTGATTTTCCGGGAAAATAGAAAGAACATTTAACGGTGAAATTTGATTCTTTTAGTTTTTTCAATTTAGTTTGATTTAGAATACTAACATTTAAAAAATACAGTAAGTATTTAAAATTTTTAGGAAAAATTAATATGATTTAAAAGAACTATAATGAACACGAGTCTAAGTTTGGAGTCAAACATGAGAATCCTAGAATTTTTTAGGAGTTTATTATACAAATTCTCCAATTCTATTAAAATAAAATTTAAGAAAAATATGGAAGTGGGAATGTTGTGAATGCTTAGCCCAAATATATCTTTTAATAAGGCTCAATTAACTGCTCAACCCAAAATCATATGAGTCCAACAAGCTAACAACCTACGTTCAGTTGCACCAAAGACCATGCTCAGTTTCAGACATGACCATCTGAGCCCAACTCTATCCTGAATCAAGACTCGGTAAAATTGGCCCAATAGACTAGGCGGATGAAAAAATTAGCCCATTAGGTCATTTTTAAAATTAATTTAGGATTCACGGCAAATGTTACAGTGCAGGGCAAACTTGTCATGCCCACATGATGAGTTTGTCTAAATAATATTTTTTATTCAAACTCGTCACATCGAGGTGACGAGTTCCAATAAAATATAATTTTTTATTAGATTTTATAGCGTCACAGTGACAAATTATAATAAAAATATATATTTTATTGAAACTCGTCACCTCAACGTGAATTCCAAGTCACTATAGCAAATATCGTAGTTTTCAAAATAAAAATTTGGTATTATATAGGGCTAAATAATTAGACCACATATAGTATTGGGCCAAAATTACCATCAAGACTCGGATGTCGATCTACCTAAACATGATAAATTAACAAAAATATTGACGACAAATACAATAACTTCTAGAATATTTTATCAAATTTTATATATATATATATATATATATATATATCTTTTATAGTTTAAATTTTTATATTCCCTTTTTAATGAATTATATTCTTTTTTAATAATAGAAATAATATTTACTTTTATATTAATTTTCATGATAAAAACGTTTATCAATAAACCATTTTTTACACCACAGATTTTTAATATATTAAAATATTAGTACACACTAGTCCCATTATTTTTGTTCCATGTTGATCAAATACATAGTTTTAGAAAATAAATTTTATTACATGTCAAGTTATATAAAATAAGGAAAATGAAAAATTATCTTCAAAATGTAATTGATAAATTTGATATATTTATTTTAATAGATATAAAAAATGAAACATATAAGAGTAAAAATAAATAAATATAATTTTTAGAAATTTCACCTCACTTTCTTATTCACTTATTCATGTTATCACGTATTAATTTTCTTGATTTTATATAATTTAATTAGTAAATATTTAAATTAAGATATTACAAAATAAAATATTAGAAGGAAAAAAATTTCATCTCATCGAAAAATAATTATAATATTAAATTCTGAACTTTTTTATTTTCTCAAACAAAAGCTTTAAATTTATAATTAAAAAAACATATATTTAAAATTTATAATTTGAAATCTAAATGTTGATATGAGTTTTCAAATTTATTAAGGAGGCGTTTTGAGGAAATAATTTATCAATAAATTTCCCAAAATAGATATTTTAGAGGTTGAATTCTTAATATGAATTAGTAACGTAGTTGATGATAAAGATGATTTTTTTCAAATTTAAATCACGATTTAAGTTTCCAAATTTGTTTAGACAATAAATTTGGATTTTTTTCCTCAAATGCCACCTAATATCCAAAAAAATATGGATATATATCATAAATAATCAATATTAATCATTTTTGTGAATTTCGTCTCACTTTCTTTATTTACTTGTTTTTCTTGGTTTTAATAATTTAGTTAACAAATATTTAAGATAAAATATTATAAAATTAAATATAAAAACATTTCGTGGAAATCTAAATTATAATATTAAATTTCAAACCTTTTCTATTTTTCTTACGGAAAATTTAAATTAATAATTTAGAAAACCATAAATCTAAAATTTACGATTAAAATCTAAGTCTTGATTTGAGTTTCTAAATAGAAATTGATCCAATAAATTTACCAAAAAAATATTGACAGATACGGTAAAATAATTAATACCGACTGTTTCTATAAAAATCGAATCACTCTCCTCATTTACAAACCAACTATAAATTTGATGGTCATCTCTTAGAAATTTGCACACATTCAAAGAAATAGAAATACACAAAATCAAGCAAAAAAGATGAACAAGTTCATTGTCCTTCCCATTCTCTGCAGTCTTCTATTGGTAGCTTTATTTTCTCCTTCCGAAGGTATTTCGTTTTTAACCCACAATTATTCATTCATAAGTTAAGATCTAATGTTTTATTGTGATATTTAATTTGTGATATTGCTGGTGAAAATAGGAGAGGAGATCAAGTTTTGCCCAACCACAATGACATTATCAGGGCCGTGCGGCCCCAATCCCAAATTTGATTGTTTTTTAGCCATTAATGGGAAGTATGGAGCAAGGGCAATGACGCAGAAGTGTTCTTGTGAAGCATTACCCACTAATCAACATATCTGTCAATGTTATATTGTTTGCCAATGATTCTAATGTTTTATCTTTTGATCACATGTAGTCGCCTCACCCACTTTTCCATTGTCTCAATAAAATAATTGCTTCGATTCAGAAAGCTTCTTATTTGGTGCGATTATCCTTCACCAATTATCATTATTTATAATAAAATTATTTATGTTGTTGTTTTTGAGATTAGGGGTTCGGCCACTATGTATGTTGAGGTATAATCATTCGTTGTCAGAGTTTTTTTTAGGTAAATTATACCAACGAACAACCAACTATAGCCCATTTTTATTTTGGATACCAATTTTGAATTTTTGTCAATCATATCACCCAACTATTTAAATGCATTTACTAGCCGTTAACAGTTAATGAAAGTGTTGATGTGGTATTTAATAAAATTGGTATAATTACACATTTAATCCTCATTACTTACACATTCTATGAAATTAGTCATAATTTAAAATTAATTAAATAAATTTAATCCTCCAATTATACAAAAGGTTTATTATACAAATTAGTATTTGAATTTGATATTTTTTTTTCAAAATGATACATGAACTTTTTTTTTATCTCGAATTAATATTTGAATACAATTTTGCTCAAATTGACATATGATTTGACTTTGCATCTCCAAGGGCGGCTCAAAGATTTAAGGGCTTTGTGCAAATTATTGAAATGAGGCCTCAATTTATAATTGTATAATAAGTATTAGATTAATTGTATAATAAATACAAATAAATATGCCATTTGCATACGTTATAGGATAAGGATAATATTTTAGAGGTAGACTGCTTAATATAAATTAATAACGTACTTGATAAACATGAAAGTTAAAGTTTTTTTGAAATCCAAATAAATATTGATAAATATGGTAAAATATCCATATATACGATAAAATAAGTAATGTTAATCATTTTTCCGAATTTCACCTCACTTTCCTTATTTAATTATTCATGTTATGCGTGCATTAGTTTTTATTTTTAATAATTTAGTTAATAAATATTTAACTTCAAATATTATCAAATTACATATAAGAAGGAAAAAATTATTTCGGAAAATCTTAATTATAATGTTGAATTTCAAAGTTTTTATTTTCTCTAACAGAGATTTTAAACTCATAATTTGAAAAACCATAAATTTAAAATTTTAATATCTAAATTTTGATTTGAGTTTCCAAATAAGCAGCGTCTCAGAAAACAATTGGTCCAATAAATTTCTCAAATACATATACTGTAAAGTAATTAATACTGTTTGTTTATGAAAATTTCACGTTACTATCCTCATTTGTAAATCAACTATAAATTTGATAATTTCTCTTAGAAATTTGCACACATTAAAAGAAATAGAAATACACAAAATCAATATAAAAAAATGAAGAAGTCCATGGCCCTTTCCATTCTGTGCGGTCTTTTATTGCTAGCTTTATTTTTTTCCTTCTAAAGGTATTTCATTTTTAATCTACAATTATTCGTGCATAAATTAAGATCTCATATTTTATTATATTATTAAAAATGATATATAATATGTGTTTGATATATTATTTTTTTTCTATTGCGTACAGGTAAGCAAGGCGTCTACTTCTTCCTTACAGGTATCCGTAGTAATAGCTTCAAGGGGTTTGGAAAGACATGCAATCTCCGAGGAAGAGTCCACGCGTGTTTTGCAAGTCCATCCGCAATCTTATTACCCTTATGGTTCGGTCATCTTCTTTATCTTTACCTGCCAATTCCTGCTCAGGTACACTTTTATATGTTGAATAATAGTAAAGTTCCTTTCCTTACTCCTGCCAAGATTTTGCAGTTGGATTGCTTCCTGACTATCGGTTTCCACTTGTATATGTTTATATGTTTAGCTCCCAATCTTTCGTAGATCTCCCAAAGTTTCGCTTCAAGCGTTGTGCACATTCCTCTTCTTTTTCTTTTTTGCAAAACCTAGTATCCACCTTCCTTTATGATCCCTAATAGCTCCTCCGCGGTTGTTAGGGGTGATCAAAATCGGGTAAATGTGTTTTCAGGTACCCGAAGTATTGAGTATCCGAGCTGTTCGGGTACTACAAACCAGTCCATGACTTGGCCCGTAATATTAGGGTACCCACATAATCAGGGTACCCACTGATTCGTGTAATAGGGTATCCGATTCTCTTCTTTTTTTTAAATTCTGCACTAATTTTTTTTTACATT